CACACTCACCCTCCCTCCCAAACACCTGGAAGTCCTCACCTTCTGCTCTGGTCAAGGCTGCTGCTAAACCACAGGCTGCCTCTGTGAGATCGCACACAGGCACCCCTCCCTCGAGACGCTTAACTGTGTCTGTGGGGAAACTGTCAAAAGGAACCAACTTGCCCTGACCGGTTTGGCTCAGTGGATAGAGCATCGGCCTGCGGACTCAAGGGTCCCAGGTTTGATTCTGGTCAAGGGCATGTACCTTGGTTGCGGGCACATTCCCAGTGGGAAGTGTGCAGGAGGCAGCTGATCGATGTTTCTCTCTCATCGATGTTTCTAACTCTCTATCCACCTCCCTTCCTCGCTGTAAAAAAATCAATAAAATATATTAAAAAAAAAAAAAAAGGAACCAACTTTGCAAGAACAAGCACTCTTTACTGCCATCTTCTGGAAAACTGTCCTAGTAAGTATACAAACCATGTTTATGATGTCATCAGTGTGCCCATAAATGTGGTGGCCGCCCTGCCTTATGTCAACTGCTTCCTGCCCACCTGCCTTATCTTACTCTGCACCACCCATGTCAGTGAGGGTCAGCACTGGGTCTTCAGCTCCTCTGCCCCCCACCATCCCCCCACTGAGACCCAGGTGCCCAAGGTGGACTGAGCACACGGCAAGGATTCTCTAATCGTACTGAATGAACGATAAGAGGGAAGACAAGGACAGAGCAAAGTCAACGCTCTGGATGGAAGAGCTGGATTCAGAACTTGTCTCTCCTCTTAAGGGCGTGGGGCCCTCGTCAAGTTTCTCGGTTTCCCCATCTGGTCAAAGAAGGTAAAAAAAGTGGGATGTATGAAGTCTGGTCGGTGTGACTCAGTGGTTGAGCGTCAACCTATGAACCAGGAAGTCACAGTTTGATTCCCAACCACGGCACATGCCCGGGTTGTGGGCTCAATCCCTCTGTGTAGGAGGCAGCCGATCAATGATTCTCTCTCATCATTGATGTTTCTAGCTCTCTCTCCCTTTCCCTTCCTCTCTGAAATAATAAAAAGATATATATTTTTAAAGTGGGATGTATCCCTTCCAGCTCTGAAGCTGTAGGATGCTGGAGGGTGAGTTTATATTGTTGGGGGTCCCGTATCCACACCTGGACTTGGATCCTGGTACCTCCACTCACCAGGGTTGTGACCTGGCAAATGATTTGACCTCGGTGTTAGACTGACACCTATCTAGCAGGCTGTCATGATGATTAAGTGAGATAAAAATAACAACCACTTAGCTAATTTATTGAAGCACTAAATGCCAGACACTGTGCTAAACATGTAGTGTCCTAATATGATCTCTATCTGTCCGAAAGCTTTAGAAGGTAGGAGCTACAGCAGGTCCTGCTATAACACCTGACTTTGTTCCGATGTGATTGATATATTAGGGCACGAGTGAAGCTTAATGCAAATTTCACATTAGCTTATGTGCAATTTTATCTGTGAGAAACACAAGGAGAATACAAAACCTGCACCCAGCTGAGCTGAGCTGAGCAGGAATTCACAACACACACACACACACACACACACTCATACCTAAACTCTATCCTCCCTTGACCCCAGCTCACGGTGCGTGCATGTGCGTACGTGCACATGGGTGTATGTTATGTGCCCCACCATTCATATCAAATGTCCCATTTCAGATATCCCTCCTTCCACGCTTCACAGTAGCTCACAGCTGCCATCCCACCCATGGTCCACTTCCACAGTGAACTTCAGGTCGTTTTCAGAGTGAAGTGCCGTATTTTCTGTAGCACTTGGGTATTTCTTAGCCATTTAACACGTGTAAACCTCTGCCGCCATTTTCCCTCGGTTCTTATCTTTTTCTCATTGTGTCTCGGGTTAGGTTTTTGGCCCCATTGTTCCCACAATCCCTGTGGTTTTTAATGCGTGATTTCTCACGGCACAGTGATTTTTGGGAACACTCATGAACAGAACCAGCTGTATGATGATCTCCATTTTACTGCTAGATAAAACTGTGGCAGAGAGGTTAGTGTGAAATGCCCATTCACTTAGCGTAATACGTACCCGGTAACAATAGTGCGATTAGTAATTACGATAGTAACTAACATTTATTAGGTGCTCACAATGAGCCAGGCAGTGGGTTAAGTGTTTAGAAAGATCTCATTTCTCTGTCCTGACACCTCTGGGATGTAGTATGGCCAGTGTAAGAAATATGCCTCTGATTTATCTTCATAGAAAAGAAACAGCATGTGGCCAGGCAGTGGCTGAATTTCCCCGAAGCAAACAGGATGTGGGGGTAGGGAGAGAGGGTGAGAGCTGTACACGTGGCTGATACACATGTCCTAGGAAGATTCCCCTAGACCAGTGGTCGGCAAACTCATTAGTCAACAGAGCCAAATATCAACAGTACAATGACTGAAATTTCTTTTGAGAGCCAAATATTTTAAACTTAAACTATATAGGTAGGTACGTTGTTATTAACTTAATCAGGGTACTCCTAAGGCTTAGGAAGAGCCACACTCAAGGGGTCAAAGAGCCGAATGTGGCTCGAGAGTGTGGCCACGAAGTTTCCATTGCACTGTACATGTGCATCTGCACGTGGTATTTTGTGGAAGAGCCACACTCAAGGGGCCGCAGTTTGCCAACCACTGCCCTAGACAAAGGGAGGTGGAGGTGACTAGAGAAGGCCCCAGCCATTTTTTAAAATAACCAATGGGAGACAGCAAGACCTAGGTGACCTATTAGGAAATAGGTGATGAAACAGTACTCAGCCAGTGAGGAACCGGAGGAGAGTCTAAGTAAATAGGCTATGCCCTCTGGCCCACGTGCGATCCTGTAAAATGAGCACCCGCTCTTGAGAGTGTTATTTTAAAGTCTCACTTTTGCCATGCTTCTGTTTCCCAGTCCGTCATTGAAATTCGGCCAGGTGAGCCATTTCTCACACCCGTATCCCAATTTTATAGTTGAGAAAAATAGGAGCACAGAAGGTCACCCAGCTTACACTGACAACGGAGCTGGACAGAAGGATTGGGTGGATATCCTAACCCCTGGCCCAATCTGTTTGTGATCTGGGGGCCAAGGCTTTTGGGGTCAAGGGAAGAGAATGAAGAGGCATTAAAATAACCAAAGGGCACGGAGACCCTTGGCCAGTTCCGCCGAGGTTCTGAGCAGCACAGTGGCTGCAGACAGATGGCCATGGTCAGCTGCACAGGATGTCCAGTGTCTGGTATTCTGGGTGTTTGGTATCTGGGAACTAGGCTCAGGGGGAAGGACCTGTAGCCAGATCTGATTATTTCAAAAGAAATCAGAAAGCTGGCTTTTTACGTGAGCTCTTCTGATTCTTAAAAGTTAGCACATATTCTAAAAACACAAATAGGATTTGTGGGCGAGACATGGCTCGTGGATGGCATTTGAAGCCTCTTCCTTAAACCCTTCCCCTGGCTTAGCTTCTCGGTCTCCGGAGAGGAGGGTGTGTGCCAACCAGATAGAGCAGGAGCCTCCCCTTACCGCCCCTCCCCTGCTTCCCCCCCTCCCCCGTCCCCAAACTCACTGTTTCATGCTGCTGATGGCGTAACCCCTCCCCAGGCACTGATTGTGCCCAGCACCCCAGGGCATGCTGTAGTTCTTCAGTCGCTTCCCATCCTTGTAAAAGTCCTTCTTCTCTGATCCATCAGCGTTCAGGAATCGGTTGTACTTAAAAACCTGCGACAGGAAGAACGTCCATTTCTGACTCCACCCCCATACATGCATGCATGGAAACAAGCTACAAGCATGTTCACCGCAGGCTTGTTTATAAGAGGAAATAACTGGAAACAACATAAGGGGCAATTAAGGGAAGATTGGTTAAAGAAATTATGGCAGCTATTTATTTATTTGTTGATTGACTGATTTCAGAGAGAAAGGGAGAGGGGAGAGAGAGAGATAGAAACATCCATGATGAGAGAGAATCACTGATTGGCTGCCTCCTGCACGCCCTACACTGGGATCTAACCCGCAAACCAGGCATGTGCCTTGACCAGGAATCGAACGGTGACAAGGTCACACAGCAAAAAGCAGAGCGAGGATGCCGTTCAGATCTGGCTGGTCCCGAAGCCACTTTCTCCCCACAGTCTCTATAACATGGCATTTACCTCTGGGTCTGTGTAGATCTCTGGGTCCTTCTGGGGACTCAGGAATGGAAAGAGGAGGAGGCGGTCACCGCGTCGCAGGGAGAATTCCCGCCCATCTGCCATGGGGATGGCCATGTCCGCCACAACCTCTCGGGTGATGAAGGGCGCGGCCGTGAGTCTGAGGGTCTCACTCAGCACACTCTCTGCACGGGGCAGGTACAAGGAAGAGTCAGCAGCCGTCCTCTACCCATTTAAATGCCACCCCCTAGGACATGTTGTACCATCAAGACATTTATAGAGGAAGGTGACGAGGTTCAGAAAGAGAGCATGACTTGCCCACAGTGAGGCCGAAAAGGCAAGTTCATGAGGTGTTATTGCTATGGTCCCTCAGAGATCTTAGACTTGAGGATTTGGGTCTAATCCCAAGAGAGGCAATGAGGGGAGGTGGGGACCAGAGAGATATCAGAGAAGACTAGGGAGAGATCAGGACCATTGGTTGTTTCTGCCTGCCCAGCATATAGTCAGTCCCTTTCTGGAAACAGTGCCCTGGTTTTCCTCTGGGGACCACCCCTCTCCCACTATCAGGGGTTGGACTGTTGATTCCACTCCCAACTGCTGGGATTGGGCTGTGTGTGGCCAATCAGAGCATATTTCCAACCCTCTGAACCCTATGATTGGTTCAAGATGGGCATATGACCCAAAGAGAGCCAATAAGACACATTCCTGGGACTTTGGGTAGGAATGCTGCAGAGAAGCACATGCTCACAGGGCAAGAACATGTCAGCTTGGAGCTTCTGGTGGCCCTCTTGCCAGCCTGAGACCAGAGCCAACCCAGCAGAAAACAAGGCTGAGAGATGGAGAAAGACTGAATCCTGAGGGCATTGCTGGAGCACCTGGATCCACCTGTACCTGAAGCTAAATACTTCTGGACTATTTGGTTTCTTGCCCCAAATAAAGTCCTCTTTGTGCTTCGGCCATTTTAAGTTAGGTTTCCTGCCATTTGCAACCTAAAACCTCCCACTGAGCCTGTGCACAGCCGAGACTGAGGCATGGAGATGCCAAGTCTAAGAAGACAGGAGGCTCTGGGGGACCTTAGGTCAGAGGACACTGATGGACCCTGGGCGACGGGAGCTCATGCGCGGGAGACCCTAGGGGGCCATGATGACCCAGCCTGGGGCTGCTTGAAGGGCCTGGCCATCTCACCGAGCACAGGCATGTTGTCTAAAACCTTCTGTGGGAGGGTGGTCATCTGTGAGACAGGCTGCTCTGCTCGAGAGAGGGCATGCTTGAGTTCTTCACGGACGGCAGCCAGGGCCTCGGGGTTCTTGAGGAGGAAGAGCAGAAGCCAGAAGGCAGCTGGGCCCATGTTCCCCTGCAATGAGAAGAGCCCCAGCTGTACCATCGAGACAGCAAACCTGGGTGTAAGCTGAAGGGTCTATGCCATGGACACAGCCCTGGCCAAGGGGCAGGGGTCAGGAGGCCTGTGTTCCCACCCCTGCCAAACATCTAGGCATGACCTATGTCTATCTTCAGCCTCAGGACAGGGCCAAGAACTGGACTGTGGTTTGGCATAGCCCAATGGCTACTTCCAGGCTATTTCTGGCATCCCTGACCTTGAGCAAGATCACTGATATGAGGTCACATAGGTGATTTTCATAGCTAATCAGCAAAATAAAAAAAGAAGCATCAATAGTAGTAACCAAGTGTGTCAATTAAGATTACTGTGAATATCCGAGGCTGGCGGCATCCGTGCGACGGTGCACTTTGTTTCATTAAAGAGGCAGAGTGTATTTCCCACCTCCTTGAATTTGGGGCTCAGTCATGTGACTTGCTCTGGCCAATAGAATGAGGCAGAATCAACAGAACAGCAGTTGTAGGTCTAGGCCTTTAGAGACCCTTTGTGTTTCTACTTGCCTGCCTCGCCCACTGGTCCCAAGAGGAGGATGGGAGACACATGGAATAGAGCTGAGCCCAGTCAAGACCAGCTGATGCCCAGCAGGCCCAAGGACATGTGAGTCAAGTAAGGGTGCAGCAAATTGATACAATATCTGAATATTTGCTTTCAAATATGTGGGTATTGTGTACATATAAAGCGAAGTAGCAATGATCAATGATGATTATGAGATCTATTAATGGATTGAAAAAATATTTAAAACTTCTCAATAGCTAAATAATTAGGAAAATGGGTGGAATTTCTTGCTCTAAGACTTTAGCTTTGGCTGAACGTTTTAATACTCAGGTGTGCAGCATGTGGCTACAATGTGCATGGGGTACCCTTAAATGAGGCATGGGTGAATACCAACTAACCTCATCTGGGGGGAAGATCTTTGTGTACCATAAATGATTGTCCTATCCAATCTTTAGTAACAATGGAATATTAAACAGTCACTAAATGTCATGTTGGCCCAGTAATTCTATTACAGACATAGTTGCATGTGGACGAAAAGCTATTTGCACAGGGATATTTACCACGGTGCTGATGTAAACAGCAAGATTGGAAGCAACCTCAATGTCTATCAATAGGAGATCAATGAGATCAATGGTGATCATCCCAACAGGAAGTCGTTGCAAAGAAGCCGGCTCTGTGGGTACCGAAGGACTATAGGCAAGGCACCGGAAGCAAGCAAACAGCGAGACGCAGAGCAGGCTCAGCGTGCCACCACGGTATGCGTGTTTAAAGGGGACATATGTGAAGAAGCACAGACCGGCTTGGGAAGGAGACTCAGATAACTGGCAACCGAGGCTGCCTCTGGGACAGCAGCTGGGAGGAGGGGAGGGGAGGGAGGGGGGAAACTGTCTTTTCACTGTGTATGATTTTTACAGGGATCTGCAAGGACGCGGAGAAATGTCCACGACACAATGTTAGGGCAAATTAAAAGCGGGACTAAAAAACTACATGATTTTAACCACAGAAAAAGACACACAAAAAAGGCAGTAAACAAAGGCACCAAAGCATCAGTGACAGTGAAAGGGATTTTCTGTCCTTTTCTTTAGCTGCCGTGATGATTTCAGTGCCAAGGAGGTACCCTGTTCCCTTATTCAATCCCCCCACTAAGTACACACAATTATCACACCTCTCGCTGAACAGGAAAACTAAGCACTCCCTAGTCCAGTGATGGCGAACCTATGACACGCGTGTCAGAGGAGACACACGAACCCAGTTTTTTGGTTGATTTTTCTTTGTTAAATGGCATTTAAATATATAAAATATAAGTCTTTTACTATGGTTGCAAATATCTAAAAATTTCTATATGTGACACGGCACCAGAGTTAAGTTAGGGTTTTTCAAAATGCTGATATGCCGAGCTCAAAAGGTTCGCCATCACTGGCCTAGTCCCTGCCCACTGCCCAGTATGTAGGAGAGGCTCCATGGTATTTGTCAACTGAACATCTGTGTTGCTTTGGGCTGGGGCCTGCAAGTCAGCGTGGAAGGAAGGTGGGCTGACCGAGCCCTGACTGGGACCAGGCAGAGTTTGGTTCAAATCCCAGCTCCCCACCCCCTGTCACTCCAGACAAGTCACTCTCTCCTCTGGGACTCCGGACTTCCCTTCTGCTCCAATAGCAGCAGGCCCACTGAGCTTGGATGCCAGCGGCCACAGAACAGGCACTCGGAGAGGCTCCTCCCTCCCGCAGGCCCTTCCTCCAGGCTGGAGAACAAGTGGGGACCTGGGACTCTCTCTGAGGTTTCCTCCCGCACCTCAGGTCCAGCGGAGACAAGCAAGGTCAGTTGCTGTCCATCACTCAAATAGCCAGGGGAATGCAGGCAATAAATAATTCAGCTTCGGGTTAACTCAGCGCCAAGGCCACTTCCGTTTGCCAGGATGGTCAGATGGGGGCCACGGCTTATTAATTACAAAGCAGGAGTGGAACACCAGGCTGCTCAGGAAAAAGCGGTGGCAAGTTGGGGAGGTGACAAAGACCCCCCTCCACCCACCTGCACAGACCCGTGTGAGTGCACGAGTGTGGGTGCACACGCGCCTGTGTGCTCACACAACCATAAGAGATTCTGAACTCGCTGCCCATTCACCCAGGAGGACACTTGTAGTCTAGCATCATTCCCTCCCACTGAAGCCAAAGTCCAAGGCCCAGAGCTGAGGGGAGCTGGGCCCTGCTGGGGTTCTCCTCCTCGGCCCACCCCAGCTCACACCCCCTTAGATCGGGCCTCGTCCCCGGCCTGGACTTGGACCTCAGGCCACCGGCTTCTCCTATAGGTCCCTGGGCACAGGCATGTCCCACTGACCCCTCCATCGGCCCGATTCCAGGCTTTGGGGGTCTGGACTCAGGGAGCTTTTGCGAGATGATGTCTGTAAAGCACTCAGCAGGCTGGCTGGCACATGGCATGTGGTAAAGTGTTGGAGAGCTTCTGAAATGATCATTCGTGCCTCCATTCTGACCTGACAATAGCAATTGCAGCTACCATTTCTCAACCCCTTGGAATACTTTCCATCCTGGCCTCTGGATGGCGCTCCCTCCTGGTCCCGCCCCCTGGCCACTCCTCCTCAGTCTCCTTTGCTGGCTCCCCCTCATCTTCTCCATCCCAAACTGGAGAGGCCCAGAGTCTGGTCCCCCTCCCCATCCAACGTCACACTCAGTGACCCCCAGGCCAGTGGTTTCAACAACAGGTCTACGCTGACAACTCCCAAATGAACATCTCAGCCCAGACCTTAACCCTGAACCCCAGACTCTTTAATTTAGGTATCACCCCACCCCCCGCCATTCTCCATCTCAAACTCAGCACACTCAGGACCTACTTCCTGATTTTCTCCCCCAAAACTTGCTCTTTCTACAACCTACCTCAGCTGTTAATGACAACTTCATTCTTCCCACCACTCAGGCCCAAACCTGGAGCCATTCTTGATTAGACCCACCCCCAATGTCCCAGCCAACAGCAAATCCCATTGGCTCTACCTTGAAGTACATCCAGAATCCAATCACTCTTCCCCTGCACTCTGGTCTAACATCATCCTCTCCGGCCTGGATATTGCAGTGGCCTCCTCTCTGGCCTCCCTGCCTCCACTTCCTCCAACTACAGTTTTCTCAGCAATGCAACCAGAATGACTCCCTGAAAGCAGAAGACAGACCATGTTGCTCCTCAGCTCAGAGCCTGCAAGGTGTTCCCATCTCAGAGTAAAAGCCAAAGTCCTCCCCATGGCCTACAGGGCCCTGAGTCTGGCACCTTCATCCCCACCTCAGGGCCTTTGCACGTGCAGTCCCCCCGTGCCTGGATGCCCTCATTCTATTATAGCTACATGACTCACTTCCCTACTTCCTTCAAGTTTCCGGTCAGGTGTTACCTTCTTGGTGAGGCCTTTCTTGACCATCCTATATAGAGTAGGCCCTCCTCACTCTCCTCTGCTAATCCCTTCCCCAGTTTTATTGGTTCTCCACAGAATTCATTCCCTCCAGTACATTTTACCTACTTTTTATTAACAGTCTGTCTTCTCCCACCAGAATGTCAGCTCTATAATGGCAGGAATCTTGGTTCTGCTCACTGCTCTACCCCCAGCTTCTAGAAGGGTGCCTGGTACACAGCGGGACCTCACTGAATATTTGTGGAATACATTTATTGAGCTCTAGTTACCGGCCAAGCACAGTTACAGGTCTCACATGTATCACTCCCTCATCACGATCTTGAGGAAGGTACTGTCACCTCCCTCTTAAGGAGGAGTAAACCCAGGCACCAAGGGTTAAGCAGCTCGCCTGCCAGGAAGTGGCAGGTCAGTCACAGAGCCTGTGCCTGAAACCACTGGGCAACACAGTGCCTCGCCCCTGCTCTCCAGACCTGCGTTCTCGAAGGGTCTTCCCCCGTGCCTGAATTTTGGATGCTGCCATAACTCAACCTCAGAGGATGTCCTGTCCCCAACTCCTGCCCAGTTTTCCCGGCCCTGACGGAAGCTGTTCCCCGGACCGTCTGTCACTCAAGGCCAGCGTCCAGTTCTGCTGACAGAGGTCATTTCCACAAGGGATTCTGGGAATAGTTTGTAGCTCCAATCTCTGCCCATAAATATGTTATTAGGCACTAATGGGGCCCCCACCTCTTGCCAGCCTCTGCCTCCAAGGACGGTTAATGGCTCTGAGACAAAACTAAAAATAACTTGCGAGTCGATGGGATAGGAATTACCCAGAAATGTCAGCCTGTGCAACTGTCATCGCTGAGGTGGGGCCAAGAGAAGGAGGGGGGCTCTGGGGTTGGGGGAGGGCAGGAGCCAGGTTCTCTCTCACCCCAATACCTGTTCCATTACTAAACGCACTGGTGCTGTGTTCCTTTGGTTTCCAGAATCTTTCCACATCCTCATCACTCCCATGGCCCCCACCTGGTCCTGCCACCATGGTCTCCTCCTGGTGTCCCTGCAGGTCCTTGCTCCTCAGGTCCTGTCCTCCTTTGCTCAGAACCTCCCAGGGCTCCCAACTCACCCAGAGGAAAACCCAATTCTTTACCTGCCAGGATCCACAGGACCTTGGTGATCTAGTCCCTCAGTCCACTCCCCCTCCTCACTCTGCTTCGTGAATGATCATGTTCCTGATACTGTTTCACAGTTAGAGAGTCAGGGAGCTGGTGCACACTCACTAAGGCATACCTATAAGCCGGCACAAACTCACAGATACACAACCACACACGCACACCTACGTGCCCCGCACGCACGCCACGCCCACCTGTGTGGCCCAGAGCTGCAGCACCAGAGCCCGCGCCTGCATCTCCTCCGACGCGCCCATCTCCTGCAGGTGCAGCAGGTAGCTCTCCAGCCAGGTGCTCCGCTGGGCCCGGGCGGCCAGCCTGGCTGGGGACAACAGCTTCCACAGGCGACCTTTGACTTTGCCCACGTGGTCCTTGTCCCCTGCAGGGATAGAGCACAGGGGTGGACATTACAGATCCGCCCCAGCCCAGGGCCGCCCAGCCCTGACTTCCCATGAGGCCAAGGGTCTTCTGGGTGGCACTGCCTGGGGGTGGGAATTCCTGTGGGAAAGTGGCTACAGGGAAGCCCTTTAAATGTTGACGTATTGTTTATCTCACCCGCAGCGAACAGGAGCAAGGGGCCTTGTCTGTTTGATTTACCCGTGTCCCCAGCACCTGGCTCATGGTAACTCAATAAATATGTGTTAAACGAACAGTGGTTCTTGACACAGCAGGGGAACGAACATGAAACATCAAGCAGCATTCCCCAGACTCAGCACAGCTTCATTCGGAGATATCGCAAACAAGCTAACTGCCATCAGGAGGGGACAGTTCGGTCTGAGGTCTCAAATTTACCTCCCTCCAGGGAAGGCAGGTAAAATAAAGGAGGGAGGAGGGCCAGGAAGGCGCTGTGGGGAACAGGGGACCAGGGGCAGCCTCTGCTCAGCTCCACCACCAGAGCCCTGACCCCTACTCCCCTCCGCCCCTGCCCCCTGGCCAATCGTCCCTAGCAGGGAGTTTAGATTACAGAAGAAGCTGAAAATCCAGGTGTTCCTGTGCAATCTTTTTTTTCTTCTTTTTAAATATATTTTATTGATTTTTTACAGAGAGGAAGGGAGAGGGATAGAGAGTTAGAAACATCGATGAGAGAGAAACATTGATCAGCTGCCTCCTGCACACTCCCCACTGGGGATGTGCCCGCAACCAAGGTACATGCCCTTGACTGGAATCGAACCCAGGACCCTTCAATCCGCAGGCCGATGCTCTATCCACTGAGCCAAACCATTGCACGGTCAGGCCATGTGCAATCTTTTTATGTTTTTTATGGTCAGCATATAAGCAAGAAGTTTTTAATCACTGTGCAGGTCACACGAGCATCTCGAAAAGTCAACTTTGGCCCACAAATCACTCGTTTGCATCCCTATCAAATAAACAATGGTGTGTTATGCTCTGGTTTATAAAGCAAGGCGATGGGGCCAAAAGGGCAGACTGTTGAGGGAATAAAGCCAGGTGCTCACGATTTAAATATTCTGTTAATGCTACAAGGTGCTATATTTACATATATTTGCACAAGTGTAAGATTTGGTTTTTCCAAAATCACCCCTTGGAAGATGGAAGTTGCTTTGGATTGCTACGAAATTCCAAAGCTCTAGGAACTCTCTCTGAGGCACAAAGCAGTGCTGGAAGACCCATCCAGTGAGTGGCTCTGAGCAGGCTGCATGCACAGGTGTTTAAAAGGGTGTTCAATGTAGGCTAACCTTATTTTTGTAAGTATATTAGTTACATTTTCAAACAACAGGCAGTGAGCCCAATTGTTCATCTGGAATACACTATTTTTTGGGGCACTGGAGAATCACTTGGGAGCTTTTAAATCTCATGCCCAGGTCCCACCATAGACCAGTCTTGTCAGAATCGCTGGGGGGTGGGCCCGCGCCTGCGGAGATTTGAAACTGGTGAGTGCAGGGTGCAGGAAGCTTGCAGCCACCTCAATGGATGCTGGTTCTGGATGCGTGTGGGGGTCATCTGAGGAAATAGTTCAAAAAAGCAGGCACAGAAGTTTAACACAAATTTAGAAATGGGTGCTATTCTTTGAGGTTGGACAGCACAATTGCGAACCTTGAATGTCACTGTAAACACTGCTTTTAAGGATGACTTTACAAAGCCACACAGTGGGAAAAGACAACAGAAGAGGAGAAAATATTTGCAAATCATCTCTCTGATAGGGATCTAGTACCCAGAATATATTAAAAAAATTCCTGCAACTCAACAACAAAAACCCAAACAATACCAATTCCAAAAATGGACCAAGAACTTGAATAGACATTTCTCCAAGGAGAAGCAGGTTCGAATCCCAGACCTCCCATGCTGTGTGGAATTGGCTGAGGCCCTGTCTATCTCTGGATCTCGATATTTCCATCTGTAAAAAGAGGGTCCTAGGCTTAAGTGCCTCTCAAGTTTTCCCTCAAAAGTGCCTCTGCCCGCTAGGGAGACATGCCTTCAAAGCCTGCATTTTCCCTTTAACATGAATTAGGTTTTTGTATTAGATTCTCTGATTCTTTAATATAAAAATGCCTCTCCCCCCCAAAAAAAAATTCAAATAAAATAGCACCCCTCCCCAATAATCCAGTAAAATGAATGTTCTAGAAAGGAACATTTTGCTTAGCTTAGGGCTCTGTTTAACTGCCCCTTGCCCCCACTGCCCTCCTGTAAGAGAAATACCAGACTCAATGGAGTAAAGTCCCCAAGAAGGTCAATTTTCCTTTAAAACAAATTTATATTTTTTAAAAGCAGAGGAGTAATGCATGCACATGGTAACAAATAATAATAAAAAAGAAAAAGAAAGAAATTCTAAAAGTTCAAATGTGTATACTATAAAAGTTTCTCTCCATCCCATCTCAGCCTTCCCAGAATAAAAAATCTATACATCTTCTCACATTTTTAGAAAACATGAATGGCAACTAAACTTATTTTGGCAATCATTTCACAAAATATGTAGGTCAAGTCATGCAATACACCCTAAACTCACACAGCTCTGGTTGTCAATCATATCTCAAAGCTGAAGAAAGGTAAAAAGCACAATATACCCGCTGTCCCGCACCTTTGTCATAATAGTGGATTCAGTCCTCTAGCAGTACATGCAGTTCACCCTTTCTGTTCTATGGCCCCATGGTTTCCCTTTATGTGACTGAATAACTTAGTTCATCAGCCCCTGCTGGTGGACATTTAGGTTGTTTCCAGCATTTGCCGTTACAAGCAACATGGCAATGAATATCTTGGTGTGTCTGTAGACATGTGCGAGCATGTCTGTGGAATAATTCCTAGCAGTGGGAGTTCAGGATTAAAAGCATGTGCATTTTATATTTTGATAGGGATAGGTTTGCCCCACAGCCTCCAGCCTGGAGCTGAGCAACCTTTCCCAATGTTGCCACCTGCTGCCTATACTGGAAAATGCAGCCTTCCTATAACCAGCCCCCCCCCCCCTTCTCCGCTGCTCCCAGAATGTCGGAGGGGTCCCCCCTGCATCTACCCAGACTCCATGGAGCATCAGCGTGGCGGCAGGGCCATGGAGAAACCACCCTTCCCTGGAGAAGCAATGGGCACTGGGATGTCAGATTCTTTATGCTCAGCATTTTGCAGGCTGACCATGTTTCCATTTTGTTGGCTCTGCCACCTATCAGCCGTGTGTACGACAAGGGACCTCTCTGAGCCTCAATTTCCATACCTGCAAATGGGTATAACGGTACCAAACTTCCAACATTGATGGCAGGAGTCAATAAGATAAGGATTTGCCTCTAAAGAGACGTTTAGAGACATGAACAGGCAACTCAGGGAGGAAAAGCAATTGGCTGGTGAAACACAAAAACATGTTTCATCTCAGTCAACAGGAAAGTGCCTAGAAAGCCAGATGCCCTTTCCTATCCATCAGATTGGCAAGGATTTAAAGGATGACAAGTGCATGTTGACAAAGTTGTGGGAAAACCTAAATTAAAACAAACTGCCCATCAGATTGGCAAACACGCGGAAAGACTGATAACATCTGGTGGGCTCCTTCCCTTTGGGTAGGCGTAGAAATTGCTCCATCTTTTGGAGATGATGTGATACTCACTAATAACTATTTTAATGGATATGCCCTTTGACCTGACAATCCCACTTCCAGGAAACTATCATCGAGAAATAAAATCACCAGATGGCAGAAGAGATATCAGTACAATGAAATACTGTAACACACACACACACACACACACACACACACACACACACACGGAAACAATTATAACAACCCACTACTAGAGGCAATCGCTGTAAGGGCTGGAAATGTGTCTGTATTTTTTATGTTAATTTTATATCTTTCTACTTTGCTGGATTCTTCTTCTTCTTTTGTTGTTGTTTTGTTGGTTGGTTTGTTTTGCTTCAGTTAGTTTTATCATGGATTTTCTGAGGTTTTCCAGATACAGTGTCTGCTCATTTGAAATAGGGATAGTTTTAATTCTTATATTGGTAACTGACTTCTCTTATCTAATTTCATTGGCTAGAACCTAGAAGATGCTTGTATTGACGAGGGAAATGTATCTGTATTGTAAGGTTAAAAAGATGAGTTGCGAATAATGGGCATAATCCCTTTTTGTAAATACACACACACACACTCCAGATATGTATATCTGTCTCTGCTTGCAAAATAGAACGTTCCTACACAACACTGTGAAGGGATATAAATCACCATGTTAAAACTGATTCCTAGGAAGTTGGGCTTGGAGGAGTGAACATTATTACTTTTTACTGTCTATATCTATGAGTTGTTAACCAGAGAATGTTTCTTCACTTAAACACTCTAATGTGTTAGTTTGGTTTCTAACAATATATAAAGGAAATGAAGGGATGCGCTGTTCTGAGCACTGAGTGAGACAATGCTTATTTTACCTGGTACCTAGTACATAGCGCTAAGAAATAACAGTGTTGTTTTTTTCTCATTACGTCAGCCAGTCCTGACAGCCACCTTCTGGGAAGGTCTTGTTCTTCTCCCCACCTTACAAGTGAGATCCTCCCTCCACCTTGAGCTTGGCTGCCCCCTCTGGGTCCCTCAGTCTGCCCCACCGCCCACCAGGGTCCCCACAGTGCTTACCCACTGACAGGGAGCCACGCGCCAGTTTGGGGAGCAGCAGGTCGAGCTGGCGGAAGGTGTGGAAGACGTCGGCTGAGTGGGCACGGTCCTGGGCCTGGCTCTGCTGGGTACGAGGCAGGGCCTCGACTCCGTACAGAGTCAGGTAGCCGGCTCTGGGGGCAGCAAACAGCAGATGAGGGGTCCTCCTTGGTCACCCCCGGCCAAACCCTCCCACAGCAGCCTCCACGCTTTTCTTCATTCATACACCCAAAGAGCACCTACTTTTCCTGCTAAAGGGTGTCCCAAAATTCACGCAAGATTTTAATTTAATGGTGCTCGCTATTACGACATGATAATCCAGTTTTTTGTGCCTAAATTGCAAGATATGGATGTGGATGACATGTGGTTTCAACAAGACGGTGCTACATGCAGCCTGAGACACAATTCAATTACTGCATGAGTCATTTCCTGGTCGTGTAATTTCCCGTTTAGGTGATCAGAATTGGCCGCCCAGATCATGCCATTTAATTTTTTTTTTCTTGCGTGAATTTTGGGACACCCTTTATATGCCCAACTGTTCTAGGCCAGGGAGTCACTGTGAACAGACAAAACCCTCAAGTCCTCATAGAGCGGACACTCTAGGACAGGGGACAGACAACAGGCAAGAGAAATGAGTGAACAAGTATATGTCAGCTGGCACTCAGAGGTATATGGGGCTCACCACTAAGCTGAAACCTGAAGGCTGGGATCAGCAGCCAGGAAAGTGCGGAGGGAGGGGGTCCGAGGCAGAGGGAACAGTGGGTGCCAACGACCCAAGGCAGGAAGGAGATGGGAGCGTTGAGGAGCAGCAAGGAGGCTGGCGAGGCCACAGCAGAGTGAGTGAGGGGGACCGTGAGGCACGATGAGCCACAGACCAGGAGAGGGAGGCAGGGCAGGCTCCCTGGGGAGGCAGGGTCTGATGAGCAGGGGGAAGAAGAGGGGGAAGGGGTTCAGGCAGAGCACACAGCCTGGGCACAGGCCCGGAGCTGAGGGAGCAACTCAGCCTGGTCAGAGCCGCCAGGTGTCACTGGTCTGGGCTCTAGGGCTGGAGTGTGAGGGGTCAGGGGTGGGAGCAGGTTGGTCACGCAGGGCGGGGGTGGGGGCTGCAACCAGGAGAAGGAGGCTGAGCTTGACCTGCGGAGTCTGACAGGGGAAGGACAGGGATGTACGTGTGGAGAAAAGATGAGCTATGGGAGCATGCATGTGCCCTCGCGCATGTATACATGTACACACATATACATACACAAAAACCCTCACACTCATACACACATACACCACACATATACCTCACACAAACATACACACCTATACCACAGACATACATACAAACACACACACACACACACACACACACACACACACGCACACGCCTGTAGGAACGCGCCCTGAGGAAACGTTTGCACTACCCACCACTCTGAATGCTCCAGCCCAGCCCAGCCCCAGGCCCAGTGGCCTCAGTCCTGGGAGGAAAGCGACAGGTTTTCACTTTTCCACGTGGTGGGAGGGGCAGGCCGCGGCCTCTGCAGAGAGACACGACTGAAGCCCAGTGCTCCCCCTCAAGCTCCTCCTAGTCCCTGGGCCTCCCGGGAGAGGGGTTTTCCTGAGAAGGAGAGGGTGGATGCAGGAATGAGGGAGGCTGGGGGCTGAGAGAGAGGCCTGCCTCGCCCAGACTCTGTCCCTTATCCGCATAGTGCCGGCACATAGTAGGCCCCCAATGAATGGTCACTGGATGGATGAATGGATGGATGGATGGATGGTTGGATGGGAGGAAAGGCAGGTGGATGGGTAGACGAACAGACAGGAGGGTGGGTGGGTGAATGGATGGATAGTTAGAACTTAATGCTGACAACACTGATCTCTGGAGACTATCACAGGGTCATCGGGCTACTGTCCCCCTTTGCCCTGCATCCTTCCACCTCCCTTCATCCAGGCTCGGCCTCCATGTGGCAGAGATGGGGGGCTCACGGTCTGCCCACCCCACTGACTAAGAGAAGACAATCCTTCCCCAGAACGAGCTCCTCCCAGACTCCAACCCACTGGCCTGCTCATGCCTCCGCATCAGCACAGAAGGAATTCTCTCCCTTCTCCCCCAAACCCGTGAGGCCCTGGCCTCTTCCCAGACCAGTGCCCTGTTTCCCAGGGCAGGGGCTGTAAAGGGCAGCTTGCACACTGGATTCAGTCCCAAACGGGTTTGGTTTGGTCAACAGAGTTTTCCTAAAAACAAACTGAATGTATATTTAAACTTTTGAGAAAATTCACACAAAATCAGGATTTTCCCCTCATCTCAATTTGAAAAAGGGCAGAATCTGGCCCCTGAACCCCAGTCCAGCCTGGCAGCCCCAGGCAGGCATTGAGTCATGGCCTCCCCTTTTAGACAGCAATGAGCTGGCAGGGTCAGGCTGTCCTACCAGGCCTGTGGTCCCCGTGACACTGCAGTTTAACACCTGTCACCATTTGTCATCCCATTTGCACGGGGCTTTTCTTAAAGCAGAGAGCCTTTTCCCTGTACATATATTTCTACCAAAATAGGCAATAAAAAAACAGACACATCAAGAAGGCCAAAAGGTTTCAGACGGTGGGAGTGAGGGCCCTTCCTAAGGTACCTCCACAGCAAAATAACACCTTACCTGGCTGAAGACAGGTAATAATTAAATGTGTGAAAATATACATAACCTACAGGTGGCGCTAGGAGCTGTAGAGAAAAAGCTGGAATGGGGCTAGGTAACAACAGAGGGTCATATTAAATGGGATGTCAGACACAGCTTCTCTGAAGGAGGTGACACTTAAGATGAGACTTGAATGAAGTGAGGTGGGAGCCAGGCAGATACGCAGGGAACAACATTCTCGGGCAAGGGAACAGAAACTTCGAGGCCTCGAGGCTACAGTATGCCTGGCCTGTTCAAGGGGCAGCAAAGGGGCCAGTGAGATGACAGGGAAGAGAGCGATGGGGACAGCAGTAGGGGACGAGAGCAGGAGGCGTGGGGGATGATCATGCAGGATCCTATAGGCCAGGGTAAGAGCTTAGATGTGACTCTGAGTGAGGCAGGGCCCTGCATAGGAGGATGTAAGGGGTGGCATCTCATGGTTTGGGGCCGTGTGAACCTCCATATCAGTGTTGGTCATCGAACTCATCCATCCCTTTCTATTTCAGGGGCTCCAGATGGCGATGAAAAGGCCCTAGGCTGCCAGGCAAGGAGGTAGGCGCTCCAGCCCAGGCCTTGGGTCCTACAGATACAGGGGTCCACTTACATCTGACCCCCAAACTGTGCCTGCTGTTACCATGGGCCTACACAGACCCAGCTGCCACCACATCATCTCTCCCCTCCCGTGTACCCTCAGGCCACAGCTTCCTCTCTGACTTCGTTGCCCACACAAGGACACAGGGAGGCAGAGGCCAGGAGACCTGGGCATTGCTTTACTGTGAACTTGCTGGGTGGTTTCAGCTGCCCCTTTCTGGACCTGTTTGCTCCACAATGACAGAGTGGACCAAACCAGCATTGCTCAGACCAGTCACAGCCCTTGATGGTGTCTGTACTGCTCCAGGGAAAATGTGGATCCCTTACACACCAAAGGTCACACTTGAGAGTGTAGGAGAGGGCGGCTGCCCGGGCTCACCTGAGCAGGAAGCTGTAGGATAAATCGAGGAGACCCATCTCATGCCAGCCACTGCCCGCTTCTGTGGCATCGCCCAGCAGGACAGTGCGCAGGTTGGTGTACATGGCATCTGTGAGCGCCTGCAGGTCTCACACGAGGAGAGTCCTGAGGCAGGGGACAAAGAAATGAGAGTGCAGATTCCTAAAGGTAATATCCGCACAGGGGCACCTTCCTCCCCCAACCTCAGGGTCCCAGGGCTCCAGTCCTTGTAGGCAATGGGGGCTATTGGAAGATTGGCTTAAACGAGATGATATTATTACCACCATCATTAACAATGCCGACCAATACTATTTACTGTGCTAAGCAATGATCTCATTTCTTCTTTTGATAACTCTAGGGATAATAGTGACGATTATGATACCCATTTTACAGGCAGAGAAACTCAGGAACATGGAGGGAAGTGACTTGCCCAAAGTCACCCGACCAGCAAGTGATACAGCTGGGATTGAAACCTTGATCTGCCCAACTCCAGAGTCTGAACTCCTAACCACCACAGTCCCTCCTCAGGGCACATAAACTTGGATAAGGACCACTTTAGACTGAGTAAACCCCTAGGCCAGGGGTGGGCAAACTTTTTGACTCGAGGGCCACAATGGGTTCTTAAACTGGACTGGAGGGCCGGAACAAAAGCATGGATGGAGTGTTTGTGTGAACTAATATAAATTCAAAGTAAACATCATTACATAAAAGGGTACGGTCTTTTCTTGTTTTAGTTTTATTCATTTCAAACGGGCCGGATGTTTGCAGAATGAATATTGAATAACTGCGCTCACATGCCCCCTTGTTGATGTAAGTATTCCTTATGTTTCAGGACCCGCACCATGTCCTAGCTGTGTGGCCCAGGGCAAGTCACTTCGCTGAGCCCCAGAGTCCTCATCTATAAAATGGGGCTGTAAGTTACTCACCCTCCAGCATGGTTGTGAAGACTAAAGAGATCATGCATGAAGCCTGACGCAGAATGCGGACTCAGAAATATTAGCCACCCCACCCATCTCTCTTCATCTTACAGATGTGGAAACAGAGGCTCAGAGAGGGTTAGTGACTTGTCCAAAGTCCCGAGGCTAGGAAGGGGTAGAGCTGGGATTTGAATCTAGATCTGACTGATCCAAACCCTGGTCTCCTTCTCCTCAAATCAGAGCTGTCTCCTAAGATGTAGGAGTTGTTTTTTTTCTTTTGTTTCTGTTTATTTTCTCAAAACAAAATGTCTTTACTGGACACTTGTTGTGGAGACAAGCGGGTGGAAACAGATCACCCCCACCCCCAGCCCATGCGCAGGTACCGTCTTTGACCACTCACGGCTTCATCTTGGCCTTTTCATCGCTGGGGTTGTAGTGCGGAAGCTGCACATCAAAAATCCTCTCCATGAGGAAGACAGCGTAGGCGTGGAAATCCAGCTTGGTGCGCGACTCCCACACCACGGAGTCGTAGGAGTGAGGGTCCAGGAGGACGGTGACGTACCTGCCCCCCACCAGCACCTGGGAAGTTGGCAGGTTACAGTGAGTGCCTTTATGAGCAGCAGCAGTGCTCAGGGATGACAGGCTTACCCCAATGCTGAGCACTGGCCCCATCTGGTACTTAACGGACAATGGTCTTTCATCTACACTCACGACCACGACCATCATTCACCAATTTACAGCTGAAAGTGAGGCTTAGAGAAGGCACGTAATGTGCCCAAGATCACACAGCTGAGAAGTGGCGGAGCTCGAGTTGGAATTCTGTATTTTTTTTTTTGAACCAAAGGTTGTTCTCTTAACCACCTCACTCTTAAGCACGTGCCATGGTTATCTTGGTTATTGTCCTGTCTCCAGCAGACAGGAGGGAGCCTGCCCACAGAAGGCAGCAGATGGATGTATGTGCATCATAGACAGATGGATGGATAAATGGATGGATGGATGGATGGATGGATGGATGGATGGATGGATGGATGGATAGACAGAAGGATATTGATGGGTAAATGCTAGCGGATAGATTATAAATGGGTGGATGGATAGATAGATGGATGGACAAATGAATGATGGAATGAAATAAGGAAGGAAGGGAGGAGTGAGGGAGGGAGGAAGGAAGGACATATGGATGCTGTTGGGTAAATGCTAGCGGATGTGCAAGCAAGACCCACTTCTTTGGGAGGCTGAGCTCTGTATGTGACACGCTGCCCCAGAAAGAAAGGAAACAGCACTGGAGAGCTCTAATTCTGCAGAAACAAAGGTAAGGACGTTTCCCCTCAAATGTCTATGCAGGGGTCACACAATTCTAAATGGCCTTGGCCCTATTTTCAAGTATGGTCTGTGAGTCACATTAATGAAACTCCCTTATAAGATACAGGCCAATATCTAAGAAAATAATGCTACTGGTGGGGGAATAAATGGTAACACAGATCACTGAATATTGGATGGAAAGATGGATAGGTGGCTGGAAGTTGGTTGGAAACTAAATGTATGGATAAATGTGGGTACATGTGTGGCAGGATGCTAAGTGAATATTGGGTAAATGGATTGAAGGATGAATGTTGGATGAATAGAAGAAGTTGGAAGGATACATGGAAAGTGGATGGATGGGTGATGGTTGTTTGGAGGTTGAATGGATGAATAGATGGAGATATAAATAGATGTATATGGAATGGATAAATAACAGAATGTTGGGTAAATAGCGGCAGATGGATGGAAACACAGGTAGATAAGTGGAAGAATGGAAGTTAGTGGAAATTGAATATACAAATGAAAGTTGGCTGAATGTTAGAGAGGTATACTAGTATAGGAAAATGGATGGATGGGTGGATAGATGGAGGTTTAATGGAAATGGAATATGTGAATGAGTTTTGGGTGGCTATTAGTATGGAAGGGTGCTACTTAGATACTGGCAGGGAGAAGAAGAGATGTCATATTGATGGGTGGCTGCTGGATAGGTGAAGTTGAATGAATGGATAGAAGTCGCTTAGATTGATGTACAAGTATGGCTAGACATTGAATGACTGGATAGCTCAATGTTGGGAAGATGCTAGAGGGATAACGAAGGGAAGGATGTTAGATAATCATTGGGTGTACAGTGGAGAGACATATGGATAGGAAGTTGGTGGGACCACTGGATGCTGAATGAGTGAGTTAGGATATGGATGGATGTTGGAGGAATCAGTAATCATCAGATATGACAGGACCAGCTGCTCATCCCCTTCCCTCCCAAGAGATACTTACAGTAAAGATATCCCCATGTTTCTCCTTCATCCTGGTGAGGAAGCTGGCAGCATCTTTTCCAAACTCCAAGGCGTAGCCCAACCAGGGGATACTGCCCAGGTCCAGGGGAGGTTCGCCAGGTCGCCTGCAGAAACCACAGTGCTTATCACCATTTGATAAAGCAGGGAAGAGGGTCACGTGTGTAGGGCACGGGGTTTGATGTTAACTGGAAAGGGTAAGGCAGGCTTCCCTGAGGAGACATTTGACCAAAGACCTGAAGGTGGTGAGAGAGGGAGCCACACGGACATCTGGAAGAGGAGCCTCCAGCTAGAAAGAACAAAGTTAGATCCCGCCTGGTGTGTTCATATCAGTACAGAGGCCAGTGTGGCTGGATTGGAGGGAGCAAGGAAAAGTCGCAGAGGTTGAGGCCAGACCGTGCAGGACCCTGTAGGCAGCTGTGAGGACGTTAGCTTTGTCTCAGTCAGGTGGGCGCCATGGGGGTTTGAAGAAGAGTAGGGACATGATCTGGCTTAGTCTCAGGAAACCTTTGGCTGTTGAGTAGAGAACGGACTGTAGGGGGATGTGAGCAGAAGCTGGGGGACCAGGTGATGGAGGTGGCCATCTCTCTAAGAGTGGGAGAGCTTTCCAGAACCCAGTACTATAAGGGTACAGAAGTCTCTGTCTGAGCCAGCATGGACCAGGGTTTTGGTCATCTCACATGCCCTGTCATGCCCACAGAGAAAGGATGAGACCGGAGAGCACAGCTGGGTGTGAGAAGGCAGTGGAAGGAAGGGTCTCATCGGCTGCCCCCTGGCTGCCCCTTGCCAGCTCAGCATGAGTTATCTCAGGTGGCCCGAGGCCAGGCCCATAGCCTGTGGGGATGTCCCAGGGGTACATGCTAGCTCAGCCTGGGGGTGGGAAGGTTGGGTTTGTGATAGTCAGATCAGAATCATCTCTCAGAACAGAGCAACTCCTCTGAGAGTTTAGTAACAGTTGCAGCTCACTGTGATAAAATTCTAAGATGACCTATCCCTTGTATAAACTCCTCCCATTGAGTGGGGGGTAGGCGGTACAGTTGACTTTAAGGAAGAACAAATTCTCCTTAGTGGCCGGACCTAATCAGGCGGACATGGGGCTTCCAGAGGCAGGGATCTTCCTGACAAAAGAGACGCGGAGATGGGAGAGACTGTTGCTGGCTTTGAAGATGGGAGGGGCCCCCTGGCAAGGAATGGAGGTGGCTTCTAGGAGCGATGAGTGGACCTTGTCTGACAGCAAACAAGGAAATGGGGGCTTCAGTCCCACAACCACAAGGATCTGAATTCAGCCCGATTCTTCCCCGGATACTTCCCACAGGAAGGCAGCCTCACCTGCACCTTCATTTCAGCCTCGTAACTGAGCAGAGAACCCAGCTACACCATGCTTGGCTTCTGGCCTGCCAGACTGGGAGCTAACAACTGGTGCTGTTTGAAGCTGAGTGAGTAATAATGTGTAACGCAGCACAAGATAAAAACGAATCCGTTCAAACTTACATTGTACCCGCACTGGGCACTGCCCTTGGCTAAGCACTTAGTGGGTATTACATGGTATATGAGCACCCACCCTGTCCTCCCCGCCCCCTCTGAGAGAGGGGCTGTTAGTTAAGGGGACGTGTATCATGATCACAAAAGGAGCCTCGCAATGGTGTAGAGCCGGTGCTCAGAGTGGACCCCTTGGAGGTCTCTACACCCAGGCTAGGACCCGTGGTGTCGTCTGTGAATGATCAGAACCACAGGGCTGCAGAAAGCTCCCGGTCTGCTGAATGAGTGACTCATCCCAACTCTTCTTTTCACTGTGGATTCATTCATTCCTTCACCAAATTTTAACTGTGAAGCAGGCACCATTTGGGGTGCCAGAGACACAGCAGTGAACAGGGCAGACAAGGTCCCTGACCTCATTGGGCACACATACTAGTAAGGAGAGATAGAAAAGGAAAGAAGAGGAGAGAAGAGGAGGGGAGGGGGCAGCCTGAGATGTGCACTGGCCTCTGTCTCCTCCCCACATCCCACAGCCCAGGCTGGGGGAGGGGAGGGGAGGGGAGGGGAGGAGAGGAAAAAACCTACAAACGTTTCAGAGTGAGGAGTGTGGTAAGAAAATAAAGAAGACACCACTCAACAATGAAAAGAAAAATAACCCAGTTTAAAAATGCACAAGGGACCTGAATGGACAGTTTGCCAAAGAAGAGACACAAATGGCCAGTGAGCACGTGAGAAGAAGCTCAGTATCATTAGTCATTGGGGAAAATGTAAACCAAAACCACCATGCGGTACTTCACACCCACTGAGATGAGCCTCATTTTTTTAATAAAGGGAACGTGAACGTGCAGGAGAAACGGAAATATGCATATATTTCTGGTGAGACTGTAAAATGGTGCAGCTGCTTTGGAAACCAGTCTGGCAGTTCCCTTGAAAGGTTAAACAGAGTTACTATGTGACCCCGCCTTATACCCCCCCCAAAGAATTTAAAACCTCTGCTCACACATGAACTTACACACTATTGTTCACAGTAGCATTACTCAGAACAGCCAAAAAGTGGAGCCAACCCACATGTCCATTGACCGACGAATGGATAAACAATATGGTGTGCTTGTGCCTGGGAACATATCCAGCCATAGAAGGGAACGAAGCACTACATCATCCTATAATGTGGCAGAACCTCCAGGCCGCTGTGCTAAGCGAAAGAAGCCAGACACGAAAGGCCACACATTGCGTGACTCTGTTCCTATGGGGCATCCAGAAAAAGTAAATCAATAGAGACAGACAGTGGCTGCACAGGGCTGAGGGGAGGGGGGAATGAAGAATGACTTCTAATGGGTGCAGTGTTTCTTTTGGGAGTAATGAAGATATTCAGGAATTAGGTAGTGGTGATAGTTGCACAACCCTGTGACTATCCTAAAAACCACTGAATTGTGTATCTTAAAAGGGTTATTTTTATAGTATGTGTATTCTATCTCATTAAAGGGGAAAAAAAGAAGGGTGATATGAGTGAGGGGGCTAGTTTAGAGAAGGTGGTCAGGGAGGGCCTCTCCAAGGAGGTACCATGTGAGCCAAGACCCAAGGATGAGAAGAAAGCACAATGGAAGAGAGGAGACAAAAGCAGAGGGAACAGCAAGTGCAAAGGCCCTGGGGTAGGAACGGACTTGGTGAGGTTGTCATGATAGCAGGAGCCAGTGTGGCTGGAGCAGAGAATGTAGGGGTGAGAGGTAGGAGGTGATGTTGGAGATGACCTGTGCACCTTGAGGCCCCGAAAGCCCAGGAGAGAGTGAGATGGGGATCCTCCAGAGGGTTTGAAGTGGGAGCTGAGAAGCAATAAGATTATGCTTTTACAAGGTTGCAACAGAGAGGCAGCAGGGAGATGTGTTAGGAGTCTACTGTATCATCCTGGAGAGCAATGATGGTGGAAGCATAGGCCAGGGTCCCCAGTGAGCCAGCCCGAGCATCCGACTCCCCAACTTCCAGAAGTCTGGGGGAGCACCAACTTCTCTGCATCCTCCTTCCCCCCTCTCCATCTTCCTCCACCATGGCCTCCTGCCCCCTCAGTCTGGCTGTCCTCCAATGTAACCCATGGGACAGGTGGTGAATGGAGAGAATGGTCAGGTTTGAGAGCTGGATTTTGGGAGATGTGGGAGCAGAATCAGAGCTGAGGTTTGAGGGCCCTGGGAAGTGCCTCGCCCAGTCACCTCCTCCTCTCTCCCTGGCCCCACTCTGCCTCTGAGCCCATCACTGAGGAGACTTGCAAAGTCGCAGGTTCGAATCTCTAAGGGGGCACCAGGGAGACACCAGGACCTTCCCTCTCCCCTAGTCATTTTGTGAGCCCCTGAGTCAAGGCCACTTCTCCAAAAGGTTCCATTTAAAGGTGAGATGTCACACTGGCAGAGCCCAGGGTTGGAGTAACTTGCTAGCTCAGTGCGCACCAGCCCAGAGAGATGGGCACGGGAACAGCAGTGTTTTGCACAAAAAGCAGGAGGGCATGGTGGTTATGAGCCCAACTTTAGCACCACACTTTCTGGTTTCAAATCCCAGCCATGCTCTTGCTGGCTGTGTGACTTTGCTTCTCCGGGCCTCAGTTTCCTCATCTGAAAAATGGAGTGACAACACTACTCACACCACATCAGGCTGTGATGCAGATGAAGGGAGTTACAGAAAGAACAGTGAGTGCCTGGTTCCTCGTGACCTGGGAGCAGGTGGGTGGGTCTGAGAAGCAGGACCAATCAGACTCCCAGGCGCCATTTATTGAGTAACAACAGTATGTCAGGTGCTATGCATTTTCCAAAGGTCTCCTTGCTTGGCTATTACTTAATGAGCCCTGGCTGTGTCACCCTCTGAGGGAGGAATTATTACTATCAAGCCCATTTCACAGCAAGTGAAACTGAGGCAGAGGGGCGGAGTCACTGCGGAGGATCTGAGTTTTAATCCAGGCAGGTCTGGCTGTAGAGATGCTACCCTGACCTCAAGTCACCCCAAGTGGGCATTTGCATCCCCACTTTGCAGATGAGGAAACTGAGTCACAGAGAACTGCCCAAATGCAGGGCCTGAGATTGTCTCCCTAAGACCTCTTTGGGGATGCGGGTGGGGCTGGGGCTTTCTTTATCAACCTTTATCCCCTTTATCTAGGCAGCAGCCCCCCAGCGAGCCAGGTGTTATTTCCGCAGCTTTCATCTTTCCCCCAGAAAAGCCCTAGGAGGTGCAGACAAAGGCAGGAAGCTGGGAGCCCAGGCATCTGACCCCTGTGGCCAAGGACTCGTCCAGCCCACAGCCCTCAATCTAACTCACATTCCAGCGTGACTCAGGCTGGCCAGCAGGGGTGAAGGAGGCTCTATTTTGGGTCTACAGTCTCTAGCCTCTCCCGACACTCTCACTTTTTTCAGGCACTGCCAGCCAGGCCCGGGAGGGGGTGGGGAGCGGGGAGCAGGCAGGATGCAGGGTTGACCCTGTCATCCCCAGCTCCTGCCCACATAGTGGATTGTGGCCTGCCTCAGACACCAAGGCACCTTTTCTGATTCTCCCCTGTATTTTAATTCCCATCGTATGGGGTCCTCCAACAACTGCCCATTCCTCACTTACAGATTCTACTGCCAACCTCGCCAATCCACCACCTGCCCTTTCTCTC